AAAAAAGACAGATGTGAGATGGGTCTATAGTTTGCGACCATGTCAACATCCAGTCCAGGCTTTTTCAAGATCGGCACTACCACAGCTGATTTAAAACATTCAGGAAAGACTCCAGTCATCAATGAAGTATTTAAAAGAAACAGAATGCAGGGTCCTAATACTGACCACAGTTTCTTTATAACCCGAGAAACATACGCTGGAGCGAATACGGTGACAGCAGAACTTTTATTCGACACTGTGGTTTGTTTACTGGGACACAGACACTCCCGCTCTCTCTCTGCTGTCACGTCCGCTCTACTCCTCCGACTGTCACTGCCAACATATAAAGAGACACAATCACTGTCAGATCCCAGCACACATGTTCACCCCGCCCCTGCGCCGCCCCGGGAGCTGGCCAGAGACCACACCCATACCACACCCAGGCTGGTAGAGGATCCAAAGAACAGGTTGTACATCGAGCTGCTTTTACAACCTTAGTTAATCCAGACAGAGAAATAACCTTGAAGTCACGGAACAGTTTATCAGCACCAACAGGCAAAGCAGCCGAGTAGTCTAGTGAACTGCTTGACAGCCCTGTCTCTGAAAAATGTAAGAAAGTCATGAGCTATCAAATTAGAACAGCAGAGTTGACTTACTCTCTGTAAGTTGTGACACTGTGTTGAAAAGGAGTTTTGAGTTATGTTTATGGTTCATGATGAGATTTGAGAAATAATTTGCTTTCGCTGTCGACATCGCTGATTGAAGACAAGACAATGAGTCCTTCCAAGCCTGGAGAAATACTTCTAGTCTGGAAGATCTCTAGTGACGCTCTGCTTTTCTACAATTTCTTCTCAAGTTCAAGAGCTCCTTCTTGTATTTTGCTCGTTTGTGTTGCTGTGTTTGCACATCTCTGTTGCTTGTGGGGCTCGCACACAAGAATTTCACTTGCATGTGCTGTGCCAGTGTGCCTGCACATGTGATGTGACAATAAAAGTGATTTGATTTGATTTGATTTAACCAAGGCATAGGGTTCCTTTTTTGACATTTCAACTTCCTTACGGGAGCAACAGAGTCCAGTAGTTCAAGAAGTGTATTATTAAGATTCGCAGTCAAGGTGTCCACACATAACTCCTGGGTAAAAATAGGGTCCAACACATCAGGTAGATGTAATTTAACTCCAAGCAATGCTTCAGGGCTAATATAACGAGATGATCTGAGGGGAACTTTCCCCTCACAGAAGCTGGAGATTTAGGGATTAAAATATCAAATAAAATTGCGGAGTGGTCTAGAATAGGTAAAACGCAATTTTCAGTAATTGATACATTCAGCCCGTAGCCTAAGACAAGGTCTAGGGTGTGGCCCTTGCGTGTTGGCCCAGACACAAATTGTGTGAAGTTTAAGGAATCAATTACATTTAAGAAATCTTTGAGCAGGGGTTTATCCTCACAACACAGATGAATATTAAAGTCCCCCACTATAAGAATCCTTTCATAGTGAGTAATAAAACATGTCAAGAAGTCTGAAAATTCCGAAATAAACAAGTCATTATATTTAGGTGAACGATAGATTACTATAATTAGAACCACGGGACAGCCTAAAGTCAGAAGTTGGGACTCAAATGAGGTAAAAACACCAGGACTTTCTGTTTGCATTTAAAACAGTCTTTGGTGATAGAGGCTACCCTGCCTCCCCTCCCACACAACCTGGGGGCGCTGAAGAAGCTGGCATCGGTGGGGCAAAGTTCCATGGCGACCAATAAAGCAGCCTCGGGTGAGCGTGCTCCGATGACGTCGGGTAAACAGGAAGAAGGCAGCGCTGAGGCCAAAATAAAGTCCTAAGCAGCCAGGGTCACCGATGGTGAGGAACCCGCCGCATCCAATTTCTGACCCGAACACGCTTCCCAGAGCGCGTGCCGCGCATTCATCCACTTCTCCAGCGCTTCCGTTTCGAAGGATTTCAGGGGGGGATCACGGCGATGCAGTTCCCCCGGTACCGACGCCAGAGGCGTCCTCCACATCGCTTGCTAACGCTGGGGAGCTTCAACAGTGAGTCACGGATATTAAGCAGCGTCTGTCGCTCATATACCAACAGGGAGTGGGTTTTTAAAACTAGCAGGGACACCACTAAGAACATAAAACATAAACATTGCAGAACCGAGAGACGGCGTGCCATGACATCCGGCGTAGAGCTGGGCGATATATCGAGTTTTTAAAACATATCGATATATTTTTATACGAGATATAAGATGTGACAATATCCTTTATATCGATATAGCCTATGTTACGTTATACTTATAGTTGTGGAGCCGCAAGTTTGCCTCTCTTTCGTCTACTTTTGTCTCTACGCAACATTACTCCGCCTCACCTCTATCCTTCACTGAACACAACTCCCCCTCCTCCCCCATCGCTTCACGTGCAGGCAGCGACAAGATGGACACGGCAAATCTCCGTTAACGAGTTACTGCGCATCGCCCCATGCGTGGGGCTGGACGGCGTCAACGTGTTAACGAGCTAACCATGCTAACGAGCTAACCGCGCTAGTCCCTACGGGCTGCATAGCCTAAAATCCTTTCATTCTCTCAAAAGTTGACAGCGCGCCTTATGTATGAATTCTGGTTGTGCTTGATGGCTGCGAACCGATTTTATGTGGTACGCGGCGCTCAGCAATCTGTCAAAAATGTTTGAGTACGATTTTGGTCAGCTACGGAGCTGCACCGCTTGATAGATTGTCAGCGCATTACGGCTACCGAGGAGCCTCGCGGAGTGATATGTACTGTGCTTCAACGTAATATTACCGTATTGTGTGTGTATAAGGACCATAAATAGCACCTGTAAGAGACGTAGGTGGTTATGAAGTGGATTTCAAACTCCAGGCTGTCAGTCACGCAGTAAAACTTGGAAATAGAGCTTCTGTGAAATCTGTCTGTCTTTGTTATTGCGCTCAGCGTCTTTTAGTTTACATTTTGACTGCACAATTGTGAGCTCTTTGTTATGCACAAAAACAACATTGTTTTATTTTATTTATAGAGCATTATTATTTAATGAATGCTCATAATTTATTTTTGAGTAATTTTTCATGTACATCTGTGCTGTATGTTAATAAAAGTGCCTGTGTGACATCTGGGACACAGCTTTGACTAAGAACTCTCTTTTTGTTCTTACTTTATGGCTTAAAAAATATCGAGATATATATCTTATATCGCCATCCAGCTAAAAAATATCGAGATATGAATTTTGGGTCATATCGCCCAGCCCTAAATTCCGGCGCCATCTTCATGCAATGGGAGAAAGTAGTTGGCCACAGATCTCTTTGCGTTTACTGTGTTATTGTGGGAAAGGTTACACAAAACTGCAGAGCATGCGCAGCTGTAATAGTTTCACACAAACATCATAAAAAAAGAGAATCAGATAACAAGACTTTTATGTCAAAAGTAAATCACAGACCAACTACATCACGTAGCAGCCGTGGAAGGTGGAAAAATAACTATTATGGGGATAATGAAGAACTTCAGATTCTAACCGCTTTATTATAACCGTGAAGAAATACTAAAATGCTTCAAAACGAAAGCTAATTTACAGAGCAATTTCACACTCACGGCAGAAATATTTTTGTCTTTTAGTTGACCTTCTACCCTGAATGCAACTGAATATCCGACAAGATGAAAACAGATCAGAAATGCGTTTAATAAGAACAGCCAAAAAAGAAGAAAAAAGAAAAAGAAAAAAGAAATTAAATGTTTTAGCTTAAATAAAACTTTATTTTTCTTGATTTTCTTGGAGAAGCCATATTTTGCAGGCAGTGGTGTTCAGTGTGAAGGCTAAAGTGTCTTTTCTTCTCACTGTGTTTGTGCAACAACTGAATAAGAATGCGAAGAAAAAAGGTTTAAAAGCTTCTGACCCGCCTCTGACCCTTTATGGAGCTTATTACATAATCACATTTCTGTCTCATAGACTCCTCCCACCACACAGAAGCAGATGTTTTAAAAACAGATTTTCCAGCCTTCTTTCTCATCTGTAGCTTTTTGTCGGAAAGAAGTCGCAATGTTTTTCATGCTGTTTTCAGCAACCACCTGGACTTTGCTGGTCCTGCTTTTCACGCTGATATTACTGTGAGTATTCCTCGACTACTGTTTTGCAAGACAATCGAGCCCTTATCTTATGTCGCGGTCAAACCACCCGTACGTGGAGTTTTATTTCTCTTGTGTTCCCTTTGTTTTAATGTCCAACTGACAATTTCAGATTTTCTCTGTTTTGTGACACAGGTACGGATTATGGCCATATCGGTTCTTCAAAAAGCTGGGGATACCTGGACCGAGGCCCCTGCCTTATATTGGAACGATGCTGGGCATAAGAAAGGTACGCACAGAAACCAAACTCACCTTAGAGACTGGGATACGAGGAGCTGACTGATTTGATCTTGAAGAAGTGAGAAGGACATATTTAATGTCCTTATCAATCGTCACTGACCTGCCTGACTTCTCTGTATTTTGAATGCACATGTCCTACTCAGTGGCATATTGACACTAAAACACATTTTCCTATAACTTTTTGCAGGGAATTCTTGGATTTGACCTAGAGTGTCATGCCAAGTATGGTGACATCTGGGGGTGAGTATTTACTTCATCAACCAGGAAGTTCACTCATGTTAAAATATGTTTGTCAGCCATGCAATACCCCCCAAAAAAGAAGAAGAAATAAAATTTTAAAAATAAATAAAATACAAAATTCTGAATTCATTCATGTCAATAATGCTGTGGCCTAAAGCAACTAAAAACAAAACAAAAAAATGCCTTAAACAATTAGCCATGAATTGTGTTATTGTAAACGGCTGTTGTCTTTTTTGCAGGTTGTACGATGGACGAACGCCGTTGTTAATGGTGGCCGACCCTGAGATTGTTAAAACCGTGATGGTGAAGGAGTGCTACTCTGTGTTCACCAACCGCAGGGTAAGAAGCTCCTCTTTCTATCATATACCAAAGTGAAAGTTCAGCAAATCAGATGTAGTACAATGCTGACATCTGCTCTCAGATTTCTGTCAAGTTGCATAATTTATTAGATTTCATGAAACCTGTAGCAGTCCCACGGACCAAGGAAGAAATAGAGAGAGCCTCGATGGGTGCAGTAATTTTTACTTTAACTTAAAACATGTACCTCGCTCCGCATTCCAAGGGCTGCAAATTGTTAATTTCGCTAGAGTATCACGCTGCTTCACGCTTCATTGAGAGCTGCCTACTGGGACATGTGCGCCACAAAACCGGTCTGAGCTGGAAGTACAGCTTGCCACTAACTAAGCAACAGAGCCCTCTACTGGACACTACGCGTAGCTGTTCAGGCTTAGATCAATAAACAAAACTGGATCTTTACAAAACCTTTGGACGTCCTGCCACTCTCCATAGAACGTAAAATGTTAGCAAAACATAGGTACAAATGCTTTTTCACTTTTTTACATTAACAAAATTGCTAGCAGTGATTTCAAAAGCAACTTGGGAAATGCTGTAGTTTATAGTGTCAGGCCGATGTGTTTAGGAAAACAACAGCAGCACTACAGGGAAAGACTGTTACCACATGAAATGTAAATGAAGTAATATTAAAATCCAACAGGCTGAACTTGCAGCAGTTCTCTGTGCTTTACACAAAGAGTTACACTTTTATTACTCAAGGGTTACATCAGCCAACACAGCAGCTGAAGAACATGAAGCAAACCAGGAAACACACTTCACTGTTTCACATAAAAACTAGAGAACAAAAACAGATGTTATCTATCTTACTGTGTATAACAGAATCAAAGCTAATTGCACGAAGGGTTTATGTATTTAAACTAGTGCTATCAATATATTAAAAATTATCTAATTAATCTCACAACTTTCTGTAATTAATCATAATTAATCACAATTACTTGGTCAATAGCCTGGTTGATATTACTTTTTTAAAACTTTATTTAAACTTTTAGTTAAGCTTGTAACTGACATTTATGCAATATAATGAAGTAAATGCAGAATAAACACAAAGAATGTGTGCTTAAATTCAAAGAGAATTTGAATAGTTTTCTTCAATCTCTGAACACAGGTTCTCTCCTGTGAAATACAACTTAAAAAAAACTATATACTAATAGTTAAGTATACACTAATATATAACATAACAATATATATTAGTTCTGTCAACAGTTAAAATGTTTAATTTGATTTATCACAGGGTTACTGTGGATTAATTTTGATTAATCACGACTAAATATCATTCTTTTTTTTTCTATATTAATCGCATTTCATTTTGCATGAGCAAACAGACTCGGGGAAAAAAGGGAAAATATACGCATCTAACATGTTTATTGAACATCTTGAACATTCATGTTAACAAAAACTCAGTAAACATTTATCAACTCTCTCTGTAACTCTTGAGAGTCACTTCAAGTCCTTGAAACGAGGAACCAAACCAAAGCTATGTAAAGCGTATCTTCTAAACGATAGTAACAGGTCTGCAGTTTGTTGCAATCCTCTTGGAAACTGTGTCAGTCAATATTTCCTAGGCCGAATTACTGAGCACCCGATGCGCCGTGAGTGGTTTGCTGCAAGTTGGGTGACGCGTTAGTCAAAGTGCTTGCAGCACCCCTGGCTAACGTATGGTTCGTGTCAATGTGATAATTTAAGCTGGAAGTGCTTTGATGAAAAGAAAATTCATTCTTGCACAGCGTGCAATAATACTTTATGTCGGTCGACTGTTCCGTCTTGTTATCAGGGGCGGATCTAGAGAAATTTTCTTAGGGTGGCAAAGAAATCAAATGGGGTGGCAAAATCAAAGCATTTTTTTCCCAAACACATATGCAGGTGGTTACATATGGTTAAAATGATTCAAATGCAGCAAGTATGTTTTTCATATAAATATAGTCTATAACTTAATTGTCTGTAGCCCACATAATTACGCACTTACATTTGCATTTACATTTGAGTTTTTATGTTATGTACTGTATAGCCTGTTGATAAATAAATATGTAGCCCAATAAGTATAAAATCCAGCAAAGCTACACAACATGGGGCAGTTCATTTACAAACACAAGTCTAACTTAAGTTTCACACTGTTTTTTGTTAGAAAACAATCACATTGTTACAGCTTAAATTACACAAAATGTCAGAAATCTGCACTGTCATGAACAAAAATTTAAACCTAATTTTTCATGATTTGTTGGATTAACCCACTGAGGTCTGAAATACAACCGGCCATTTTTGACTCCTTTTGAGTTTACGTTTGTATTTCACCCTCAAATTGTTTCATTTTATTTTTTTCCCCTTGCCTTGTTTGGTATCATTCTTTTCAGCTCAACTGAATTTAGTTGTTTTTTTCACTGACATACTGCATTAGTATTACTGATCTGAAATCACACAAAGAACTTAAAATCCTAGTAGTATTTTTTTTTACTGTAAAGAAAACAGACATGTTGAGTAAATTTTTATAACTTGAAATGCAAATATAATTTAAATTATATTATATTTGCATTTCAAGTTATAAAAATGAACTAAATTAATGTACATTTTGTAAACATATACAACTATTTATCTAAAAATGCAGCCAATACACCTGCTTTTTTATTTTGCAACCATTTAAAAATATTACTAAAACTAAAATGAGAGAACAATCAGGTGTTGCAATAAGATGCCCCATAAATGATATGTGCCAGTAAAAAAAAAAAAGTTTGTCCACCAAAAGACAGAACAGCACAGGGATAAACCTGCAGGCCTGACAACAGGAGGGGTATCACTTAGTGACAGTTTTTACATTGCAAATGTGCCTTTGTGTTCATTAGTGACCTCACTGACACACAAGGCAAAACGACAACAGAACAACTACACAAGACAACACAACACACTAAGTGTAAGGAAGAGGACTCCCTTACTAAATTTATTTATATTATTGTATTA